ATTCTCTTGCCTAGGCAGAGATTGAAGGGGGGATGATGATCTAAAGAACACAAAATCTTTGGTTGCATGCTTTTGAATAAGATCTTGTTGATGATGTACAGGCATTGTTTCAAATCCCTAAACACCGGAGATATAAGGAAGATAATCCCTTGCTAACCCCTTTTGAGCCTTTGAAGCAGAAGTTTTTTTCTATACGAAAAAACCTTGAATTTTAACCTGGGGCAGGGTAGTTTTCAGTTAATCTGATTGAGTGTTCAAAATTCGCAAGGAAGATGTTACCGTCACAAAATCCTTTGAGAGATGAACACTCATGTTGAATTAACCGAACATAGAGTTGGAGAACATCATGAAGAATGGGTGGACACCAAATATTTTGACCTTAAAATCTTTTTCTAAAAAACCCATGAATTGGACCACATTACAACCTTCAAAAGTCCTAATTGAAGCAAGGTTATTTTGAAAGCATATTTCAATGAGACAGTGTTCCTGACTCCCATGAATGTTCTAAATAGTTATGTTGGTATCATATGTTTTTCCTATACAAAAATAAATGGTGCTTTAACTCGCAAAATTTGTGCGATATCTTTCAAAATCTTCAAGACTTACATAACTGTTGCATTAGAATTTTCATTCTCATAATAAACTTTTCTAACTGCAAAACATTTGTTTGATATCAAGGAAGCTCACATATAAGCAGCAATGATGAGTTTATTCTTTTAAGGCTTGAAACTATGTTGAGTAATTGGAGAATCATTTCAAGAAAAATCATATCCAGGGGCATGTCAGCTGAAGACCTTAAGCACGAACATGTTGCTTCTCCCAATTAATGCTTTTCCCAACTTGTTTGCTCGATTGGGGCAAAAATTCGAAGACTTTGTTGTGCCGACTACAGTCAATCCGGGGCAATCGCGTCGAGATTTGATAAATTCCTCTAAGAGTTTGAAGACACCAGAGCATGGTGAATGCCAGGTCTTTTGTAAAACCCTCGTTAGACGATTTCTCCTCATCAACCTTTTAGCTTGGGGCATTTTAGAAGTGAAGTTATTCGCAAGAATCGTCGTGCATCATGCAGCTCATCAGCAGTAAATTTGGGGCATCCAATATTGGTCCCAGGGGCAATCTAGACTTGTCAGGATGTGTGTTATGTATTGCACACTTTATCAGAGGGTGGTGTTCCCGTTATCTCCAGCTAAGAATGACTCTTTCCGGCTGAAGCATTTGTTCGTGTTGTTATCCTTTCAATGGGTTGTCAACAGTAGAAGACTGGACTTTGGGTTTTCTACCTAAAATATCTTCCTCTCCAAGAGATTTGAGATTTGTAGGATGACTTTGCTCCTTTGATGGCTTTTATCTTCTATCTCCAATGCTGTTCCCCTCCTTTTGAGATTAGCCGAGCGCCAGGTTGTACTGTGATGTCTTATCATCTTCTGTCCATCTCCCCTGTCGTTTTTGTCAGCATACACATGACATTCATTCACACTTGCATCATGCACGCACAGTTGTGTTTGTTGATGTCGTTGAGTTCGTACACCTTAGTTGTGTCTTTTCAAATAGCACATTTGATCTTTCCAAATAGAGTGCCAACTTAAGCATAAAATGCGCCTCCTTTCTAATTCCCCAACTGAGCTAATCCTCGCGGATGATTTTTTATTTAGCTTACCTTGTCCATTTCTGGATAGGATAAATTCCCCAATCAAGTTACTTTCTCATTGGGTGGAGTCTTGTTTGACTGTTTTCTCTCTGGTTTATTCCTAGATGAAGTTGTTGCCTCTTGCATAGGCTATCTCATTGATTTTCCCCAGTGAAATTGCGACCTAGACGGTTGGTGCATTTATTTTGCACGTTAAAATATATGATCTCCTCGGGAAGGATTGATTCAGGGTTCTCTTTAATGAAGATTTTATTTCTCTACCAGTGTCATTGCAATTTCCTTCTGAGTTATTCTTTGGAAAACGACAAGCGGCAGCTCTTCACGAGCAACTTGTAGGTTATAGACACCGTTGGAAAACGACAAGCGGCAGCTCTTCACGAGCAACTTGTACGTTACTTTTCTGAAAGCGCCGAGCAGCAGTTCTTCATGAGCTACTAATGCGTCATTTATTCTTTTCTGAAAGCGCCGAGCAGCAGTTCTTCATGAGCTACTAGTGCGTCATTTATTCTTTTTGAAAGCGCCGAGCAGCAAATCTTCATGAGCTACTAGTGCGTCATTTATTCTTTTTGAAAGCGCCGAGCAGCAGTTCTTCATGAGCTACTAGTGCGTCATTTATTCTTTTTGAAAGCGCCGAGCAGCAGTTCTTCATGAGCTACTAGTGCGTCATTTTATTCTTTTTGAAAGCGCCGAGCAGCAGTCCTTCATGAGCTACTAGTGCGTCATTTTATCTTTTTGAAAGCGCCGAGCAGCAGTTCTTCATGAGCTACTAGTGCGTCATTTTATCTTTTGAAAGCGCCGAGCAGCAGTTCTTCACGAGCTACTAGTGCGTCATTTTATTTTTCTGAAAGCGACAAGCAGCAAACTCTTCATGAGTTACCAGTACGTTATTACTTTTCTGGAATACAACAAGCGGCAGCTTCTTTATTTGAGCAGCTTGTATGTTATCGGTATTTTCTCTGGACGACAACAAGTGGCAACCTCTTTATTTGAGCAACTTGTATGTTATCGGTATTTTCCTTGGACGACAACAAGCGGCAGCTTCTTTATTTGAGCAGCTTGTATGTTATCGGTATTTTCTCTGGACGACAACAAGTGGCAACCTCTTTATTTGAGCAACTTGTATGTTATCGGTATTTTCTTTGGACGACAACAAGCGGCAGCTTCTTTATTTGAGCAGCTTGTATGTTATCGGTATTTTCTCTGGACAACAACAAGTGGCAGTTTTCTTTATTTGAACAACCTTCGTATCTACAACCTTACTTCGGCATTAATGGGTGTATCTCCGGAAATCTCGCAGAGAAAGCCGGTTATGAATCTTTACCTTCGGAAGTCGGTAACCCGTTATCAGCAATTTGATACTCTCTGCCTATCATTAACCTTGAGTTGCAAACTCACTGTTTTGGGTCAATAATCTGTTATGGCCTATGCAAGATGCTCTCTTCGTTAGGGTCAGAGGTCGTATCCCCTCAATGTTGTTCACTGTCGGGAGTCTGTCGTTTAAAGTCGATGGTTCGTTTCCCCAGTAGTGTATAATCCATGTCTCTGTGTTTTGTTGGTGTTTGATTTCTCCAACATGGTCTTGTTTCATGCAATATCTTTCTATGTGAATTCAATCACTACATTCATATCAAACATAATGGCGGTATCTTAGGGCAAAAATTGCGTATTATGTATTTAAGTACCTTCAATCTCGTCGAGACGAAGATTTTAATCTTCATATCTCCGGATAGAAGAAACTTAAATAGGGGCAGCTGTTGTACCCCAATTTTTGACCTAAGATCCCACCCCCCATCTGCATTATTACATAGCAAGCGTTCACAAGCGATTCGACCTATTTTTGCCACTTCTCGGGTCAGATTTCAAAAATTCATAACTTCTTCGAATTTCGACATTTTTGAGAGGTTGTTTTGCGCATGATTTTCCTTGACATCATCCACAACTTTTCTTTATAAATCAAGGGAAAATTATGCATTAAAAAGCCATGAAAAATTGTTGACGTTAAAAGTTGTTTTGTGAATTTGGTGAAATTTGGGTTCGACTGTGTTTTATTCATGATTTCTTTTCCATTAAAAAATTGCAAAAGACGCACTTAACATGTGTTATTATTTTTATTTATTTATTTATAATTCAAAATATAAAAAATATGGTCTTTTATTAATTCTATTTAAATTTATATGTTTGTATCACTTTATTTGAAAAATCTAAAAAAACATGTGATTAGCATCATCTTTATTTTAGTTGTATTTTTACATCCAGAAAATCTCAAAGAAAAAACATATAGTTAATACCATTTTCTTTTATTTACATTTTTTATTTCTTTAGTCATTATAATTTTAGTTCCTTTTTAATTTTGATTTAGTTCTAATATTAATTGAATTTCTTAAATTGAATTATTATTATTACTAAATACTTTTTGTTTGTGTCTCTTATTTTAATTCTTTTTTTTGTACTTTTAGTTTAGTTGTTACTAACAATCTCTTTTTGGTTAATTATTATTATTATTTTTTTTCTTTTTTTGCTGTTAATTTTTTGTTCTATCCAATTTGCTTCAACTCTTGCCAAATCTTCCTACAAACCTGCTATTGTCATACTGCAAAATCTGCACCATAATACATCCAAGAATCTTACATGAGAATGGCAACTTTTCAAAAAATAAGAATAAAGCAAAAAGTCACACTATACTTCCTCTATCTCTAGAATAAACTTCAATCTCAATCAAAAAAAGAACACAACGGTAATAATTCCTTGGAAGTTTTTCACAAAAACTTCTAAGTCCCATATATTATCCGATTTTTTTTTACATGGAGAGATCCTTCACTTTTCATCTTTCTCTTCAACTTATTTCCTTCCACCCACCTCTCACTGCAAAAATCAATTGCACCCCTTTACAAAAAACAATAGATCACTCATTCAAGAATACAGTAGAAAATACATACAAGAAAAGAACAAAAAATATATTTTCATACCTCTACGATCTTCCGCCTTAGAGAATCAAAACCGTTCACAGTATGCACGTAAAACTGGAAGTTTAGCTAAGCAGGTGTTGCACCTCCAAGGACTCATAACCGAAACAGATAGGAAAGACAGAGAGGAAGAGGCATAAAGGGAGAAGATAGAAGATCTTGAATTCATTTCCTTTTGAAGAACTTGGTGGAGAGACTTTGACAGGTAATGCTCATTCCATCCTTTTGCATAAAACCGGCATCTCTGTATGTATTCGTTATCAAAACTTGTTGATGTTGCGTATGTAATCCCTGCTACAAAAGTAAAAAGGATAGAATTGAGTCCAAATCAAATTACTTGTGTTTACGAATAAACCAGAAAGTTTAGAATCGGGTAAAAAATAAAATCACCTTAAAGCTTTGACATCATCCTCACCGTTACTCTTTCCTCCACCAACTGTAACGCTACTTCTCTGCACAATCGCCACTTTCCTCCATTTCCTTCCTTCTCGTTTCACTATTTCAGTTTCTATTTCAGTTTCTGATATTCGCTTTTGCATCTCCAGAGTCACCCAAACACCCCCTAACACCACAATCACAACAAGCAATTTAACCGTAGTGGAAAAGTTTGTTACCGTTACTGAATCGTTAGCCTCAGTTCCAAAACCATCACCGAGCTCCCACCGTAGAAATTCTCTGATCTCCGCTCCTGTTTCCTCCATCCCGAACCAGATCTCCTCTCCCCTCTCTCTTGTTTCACTCACGCAATCGTACTCATTTCTCTCTCTTCATTTTCTCTCCGACTTGCGAGCCCGAGCGACCACCTCCCGCCTCCGACTTGCCACCACCACGTCTGTTCTCCAACAACATACAACTCTCATTTATTCCTGTTTGCAACTTGCATCGCGCAGCCCAGATTCCATAAATGAAGCATATTGTAAAGATTTTGACGTTTTAGCGTGAAGAAGAGAGAAGTGTGGAATAGGAGACTGATAGAGGTAATAGGTGTTGTTAAATGATTAATCACGTGAGAAACAAGGAGTTATATTTGTTTTAATTGAATTTTAATTGAGAAATAATCAGAATTAATTGACAATTAATTGATTAGATCTTCCCAAATGATAGCTGGCGGCGCCTCTTTGTAGAATTAGGGTTACAAAAACCCTTCCTTTACCTCTCCAAAACCGGGTCGGTCCAATGGGCTATTGGCCCAATAACTCAACTTTTTTTTTCCTTTTTGTTTTAAAAGAACGTAATAATTAATGAATAAGTGAAACAGTTTAATTGGCAAGGCATATTACTAGCAAACTAAGTGTCCTGGGTTCAAATCTTGGTTGGGTCACTTATTTATCTTTTATTTCTTTTGGCCATATTATTTAATACACTTAGTTAATTATTAATCCACTTTGCTGTAAAATTTTTAATTAGTAAAAAAAAAACACATAAAAACATTTCATTAAAATTTCACCTTTATTTAATTTTGAAAACATACATTTTTCTTCTATTATATTTTGTGATGTTGCTTATTTGATTATTAAAAAAAATACATGTTTCATGATTTAATTTTGTCATGTGATTAATTATCAAAAAAATCTATGTTTTCTTAATCTTCATGTGCTCTTTTATTATTTATTTAATTTTTAAGATGCATGCTAGTATGATTTAAATTTCATCAGTTAATCGTTTAATTATAATTTTGATTAATTGATCGTTAATCCGTATATCTCTCGTCCATTTCAATCCAAGGGAATTGTTTAATTTTTGTCGACTTCATGTCACCAAAAAAACATCGTGCGAATACCCTCATTCATCAAAAACTTAAGATAATTTTTCCAGATCTTCAATCTTTTCAAAACTTATACCTTTTAAGTCAAAACTTCGACATTAGGTCGTCGTACCTTCAAAAACCCGTCCGTACCCCCCTTTCGGCCAAAACAATTTATTTTTTAATCGAACGAACAATTTTAATAAACAGATATTTCAAAAGGTTCCTATAGAGTACTATAGATATATTGGGTGCTAATACCTTCCCACTGTATAACCAACCCCCGAACCATAGATCTCTTTTCAAAAACGCCTTGTATTTTTTTTTTTTACTTTTAGAAAGTATTATTTTACATTGCATACTTTAGGGTTTTATTTCGCTCTTTTCCCTCTTCCTTTGGAAACAATAAAGCGCGGTGGCGACTCTTGCTTTTGTGAGACGAATTAATTAATAATTCGATCTCCGATTTACCCCGCTACATTTTTTATCGCTACAACGTTGACCAAAATTGATGAAGATCCATTGAAGGATTGGTAGAACCAACGCCTCCTAACAATGAATCTCAAGGTTATTAGATGAAAGGGTTAAAATTAAGATACTTGGGCTTGAAAACATAAGGTTGGGCCACAAATGATCATTTACTCGAATCGGGACAAAATGTAGCGCTATGTTAAGCAATCGTAAGTGGACTTATGTAGAAGTCGCACCTATTTTGAGGCTGGTCAATAGCAATCTATGTACTTCATGTTTGGATAAATGATATAGAGATCATCATCCTGTAACATGTAGCACAAATAAAAAAGAAAGCGATAAGATGAAGAGGGAGGGGGATGATAAGCTAATTTGGATCACTTCCTCAAATTTCTTTCATCTTAAAATTCAATCACTCATCTAGATGGTTAAAGTACTAAACATATCATTCATCCAAAGCACCAAAAATGAATTAAATAATTCATTCTTTGGTAGATTTGAATCAATGAACATTTATCCAACTTCATCTACACCCAAAGTCCATTGAATTTAAATAGAAATTGGATATTTAAAATTGCAATCCAAATCAACAATCAAAAGGAGTGAGTAGAAAAAGATAGATGGATCAAAACAACCCCAACACAAGACAAAAAAAGAATTTTTGTTCTGTTGCAATCGATTGCACTCTGGCAACAATCGATTGCATCAGTGCATTTTTTTCAAAAAAACGTGAAAATTTTGCTGTGACAATCGATTGCACTATTACAACAATCAATTGTACCCTGTTAAAAACAGAAAAAAAAAACATTTTAAAAGGCCAAATTCTTGTTCAAACTTTCCATCAAACACCTTATGATCATGGATCCAATTAAGCATGAAAATTACATCAAATTATGAGAAAATAACACCAATGGAATCACAAAACAATGCTCAATGAGTCACACCCAAAGATTAATAAGAGATCACATTGTGAAAGATGAAAAATCCAACTTACCAAAGGTAGATCTAGAGAATTATCAAAACAACTTCAAGAATTTTCTTCAATTCAACCCCAAGAATCAATTGGCCAAGCTTGGATGTAGAGAATTTATGAAGAAAAAGTGTTTGGATGAAGGTTTAGCTCAAAAATTAATAAGTTTCAATGCAAAGTTTACTATTTTTTTTATTTTAAAATGGAGCTTTGAGTGAATTTGGTAGATGGAGAGAATTGAGAGATTTTTTAGCAAAATGACTTTGGCTATCAAAAGCTTGTGATTTGAATGAAATAAGGGCTTTATTTATAGAGTTTAGGCTTGGGATTAGTGGTAGTTTGGTAATTGATTCGTGGAGCCAAAATTTGAATTAATGATATATCTTTCAAAAAATGAAAAATTGGATCCAAAATTTTGAATTAATGATATATCTTTCAAAAAATGAAAAATTGGCACCAAAAATTGAATTAATGATATATATTTCAAAAAATGAAAAATTGGCACAAAAATTTAAATTAATGATATATATTTCAAAAAATGAAAAATTGGCACCAAAATTTGAATTAATGATATATATTTCAAAAAATGAAAAATTGGCGCCAAAATTGACAAGCTTGAAATTGCTGATTTTTTCAAATTTTCACATTGTGCAATCAATTGCATCAGTGTTTGTTTTTCAGAAGTGGCGCAAAAAATGCACTCTGTGCAATTGATTGCACTCTAAGAGCAATCGATTGTACAGTGAAAAAAAAGAATTTTTCTCTTCTTTATATATATATATTTTCTTTGCAAATAGAGATTTTAGGGAAATAATACCAGAAAACCTTATTTGTCAGATGCTTTGACTCGGTACCTACAAAACACAAATATTCAAAGGCAATTTTTTTTTGTATTTTGATTAGAAGTTAGTCAACAACACATATACAAAATACACAACTAAGGTGCTTGGAGATTCCTCAAGAGCAAACTTAAAGATAGGAGATAGAAAAAGAGGAATAACCAACCCTAATGTGATCTTGTTATGATTGAGTTGATATGATAGGGGAATCTTAGGGGCAAAAATTAGGGTACAACACCAGTAAAGGGTTTCTTTATAGTGTTTGATGTAGAAGCAGATGCCATGGGAATTTTTCCACTCTTGATGCCACTTGAGACCCTTTCACCAGTTAGGATCAACTCGGTGAAACCAGAGAAAGAACTCCCAATTAACAAGTTGAAAAATGGGACAGTTAATGTACCCATGAACATATCAACTAGTTCTCTGTCAGTTAGTGGTAGTTGGACCCAACCAGCAAGATCCCTCCATTTTTTTGCGTACTCTTTAAACCCTTCATTAGTACTTATTTTCATTCCTTGAAGTTGAACTCTAGTTGGTGCCAAATCAACATTGTACTGATATTGATGATAAAAATTAGTGGCCAAATCTTCCCATGTGTGAATGCGAGAATCCTCCAATTGGTAAAACCATTCTAGCTGAGTCCCAGTCAGACTCTCTTGGAAGAAATGGACCCAGAGCTTCATGTCAGTACTATGTGGTTGTATCTTGTGGAGGTTGTGACACCCCAAATAATCTGATTATTAAATAATTAGAATTTTTAATTATTAATTTAATTGGAAATTTAATTATTGGTATTTTTGGATTATTGGAATTAATTTAATTAATTAAAAGAAAGAAGTATTGGTGGTGTTGTTGTACCCCAAAATTTGCCCTCCCATATTCTTCAAGGTTTGTCAAGAATCATCTTCAAATGGTTCAAGACCACTCAAGGGTTACACAGTCCAAATGCCTCTTAAGCCAGTCAAAATTAGGGTTTTGTTTCTTCCCAGGAATTTGAGGTTTTCAATGGCTCAATCAAGTCTCATAGGCCTATACATATTCTCAAGCACCTACATGCCAAGTTTCAAGACTCACAGTGTCAAATTCCACAGTCAAAAGACCCATTTGCTTCACAATCAACTGCAGGGGTAAAATGGTCATTTGGCAGTCAAAAGTCAGAATTTTTGGTCAACATCTTATTTTGAGCTCACAATCATCATTTGATCAAGTCTTGATCATGATTCCACAAGCATGGCTCAAAAATCATCAAGATGTCAAAAGTTACTATTTTTGGACAGCAGAAATGTCAACTGTATCTTGACCAGGGCATAACTTTTTCATGGTTTATTAGAAAAATCCCATCCAATGCTCATTTTGAAGGGGATTCAATTTCCTACAATCCATCTTCACATTCCAAGTCCTAGAAATGCTCTCACAAAAAGTTATCAATTTCTACATTATAGGTCAATTTCAAAAGTCAACAAAAATGCACTTTAAGTCAAAGACCATAACTTGAGATTGGCAAATCCAAATGACATGGGACCAAAGGAATTGGTTAGAGGACTTCAAGACCTTTCCAAAATGTCCAAGAACATGTTCATATAATGAAACTGGAGCAAGATATGCATTGGAGAAGTTGGGAAATTTTTGTGAATTTGCAAAAGTCAACTTTGCTCAAAACACATCATTTTTGCTAATGGGCCTCAAATTTCTTCTTGAAACGTTATCCAAGGCCTATTCACGACCCTTTGAGCTTAAATTTAATTATTTTCTTATTTTTTTATTAATTAATTGGATTTTTAATTGATTTTAATTCATTTAATTAATTTAAAATGTAAGAAATTAT